AACAGTCTGCTAAAGACAGAAACCATGAGGTCTGAGAGCCTCCTTCCTGGGCTTATCCTTTAATCTTACTCATGAAGGAAAAATACAGGAACTTAGTCTTCCAGGCTGCCAAGGAATTTTACTATTTTCTAGCTGCCCAGAACGACGTTACTGTTTCAATGATAGTTCTACAGGCATCCAATGGGAATTCTTGCTTGCCATAGACAGATGATTGGAACCATAAAAAGCTCGAAAGTGTATCCTTTTGTTTCTTCCAAGCAGGAGATATACGTTACCCTTTTTTCTTCCTCCTTTTTCATTTTTTTTCTTTTCCTCCGTCTCTTTTTTTCTTCCTGCTCTCGTTTTTGCCAGCAGGCCTGTCGTAAAAACTCTGCGCCCAATCTGACTCGAGTTGTTCTTGGGAAAAACTGATGGGCCCGCTTTTTTCGAGGTGGCAAAACTCTCCTCATCGCAGAAGGGAGATTCTCTAGTAATTCTTCTGTATGATCCCACCACACAAATAAAGGACCTTTCGGTATCTGCTTTCTGAAGAGGAAGAAGAAAAAAAAAGGGAGAATAGCTGCGAGGTTAATGAGGCTCTGGGCTAATTCAATGAGCCTCACAGGGCAAGGCATAAGACAAAGAAGAGGACTTAGTTTTTGACATGATACCCTCATTATGGAAGCTGGAGAAACAAGAGAGGCCCCTCCGGCCAAAATAAAACAGAAGAAAAACAAAAGAAAATAACAAAGGCAACGAATACTAAAGTAAGAACCCTATCAGCTACTTGGCTAAATAAACACACAACCTCTAATGTGGACTTTGAACCAGCTTGGCAGGAAGTTGGGTTAGAACAGGACCAAAAAAGGGATTTGAAATATTCTTTCTGTCATGATGAAAAAATAAATTAAATAACATCACAGAGGACTAGCTCTGCGTCTCATAGAAATGTAAAGTGTGGGATTTCACGTGGGGTATGGACGTTCTCTGCACACATGGACAGAACGAAAATGTAAACTAAAAGGAAAAGGAAGCTGCCTCGTTCTGCAAAAACTGGAGAATGGAGCTCTAACAGACAAATGTGAACGAGTGGGTCTCAGCCTAGCTCACAGCAACCTCAAACTCCTGGGCTCAAGCAATACTGCTGCCTCAGACTCCCGAGTGGCTGGGACTACAAGCATGCGCCACCATGCCCGGCTAATTTTTTCTACATATATTAGTTGGCCAATTAATTTCTTTTTATTTATAGTAGAGATGGGGTCTCGCTCTTGCTCAGGCTGGTTTCGAACTCCTGACCTCCAGCAATCTGCCTGCCTTGGCCTCCCAGAGTTCTAGGATTACAGGCGTGAGCCACCGCGCCCGGCCCGTAATGTCCTCTTTACTCATCCTATAGAGGGGCCACCAACGCCAAGAGGCAGCGTGTGGCGGGATTGGTATTGCATCTCACTAGAGTGTATTGACGTATATTTGCTTTGCAACTGGCTTTGTGTGCTGCTTGATAAAGCTCTGTTCTCCAGGTACTTTGTCAAAATTACACTGCGTTATGGAGACATTAGCTCTTATTCTGCCATTGCTGTCACATGCTGTGGAACAGGGGCAATGAGTTGTTAACGGGTTTTACCCATTAAGATTTTGTTTTTCCATTTTATATTTTGAGACATTTTATTACAGAAAACTTCAATCATGTGCAAGAGTAGGTAGAAGAACAAAACCAAACCCATGTACTCATTACGCAGCTTCCAGAGGCCAAGAGTGTGGCATCCGCTGTGCTAGCCAGCGTGGCAACCAGGCAAACAACCTTTCACAGCACGCCTCTGGCATCATGTAATTTCATCTGGAAACATTTTAGTATTCATTTAGAGATTCTTTTAAACACGTAAGCACAATACCATTACCATTACATTTAAAAATAATGTAAATATCTTATAGCACCCACACTCCAGTCATTTGCCTTAGAAATGGAGGTGGTAGCGCTCTTACTGGTTTGGGTTGGTTTTATAGTTTCTTTTTTCAGGAATCCACATAAGATCTAGGCTTAGTAATTGATTTTCGGATACTCAAGTCTCTTTTGTTTACAGATGCGCCCTCCACGTTTTCTTTCACTTGCTCTCTATAATGGAAGATGCTAGCTCGTTTATCCAGGGGTTGCCAGACGTCACTGATGGAATATCGGAGCATTGTTTAACATGCTCCTCTTTCTAGTTTATTTCCCTTGAAATCTAGCTATTTTGAAATATATAGTAGATTATTGTAATCTGCAGACACCTTATTGATCTGTGAAACACCAGTTCTTGTTTCTTCTATCAAACTCTATATTTTTACCCATTAATCAACTTCTCCTCATACCCCCTGGCTGTTTTAATGTATTTGTTTTTCCAAGTATCACCAGGAGCTCATACATGTTATCACATGGAATGGTGTGTAGCCCTGGCAGCTGTTCTTAGGGATGCTCTCATTAACCCCATTCTTGGCCAGGAGGAGCCTTTTCACGTTCTTTTGTCTTTTCGACGTAATCCTGGTGGTTTTTGATATCTCCTTTGCTTTCTGATATGACAAGATGTTTCCTACCTTCTTTTAAGATTCAGGCACTATAAACAGATCTCCAGAATGTTTGCTTTATTATTTTGAACTTCAGGCATGGGGAGGAGTCCTGAGTTAGGGCCCAGATGCATTGTGCTCGTAAGCCGTTGCAGAGGCCCATCAGTGCCTTCCCTTCCCTATCTCAGGGAAGCTTTTTATGAATACAGAGGCCCTGGCCCCAGCCCCAGGGGACCTTCCCTGGATTCTGAAGGGCCACTGGTGGTTCAGACTACAGCCTTACGGCTAGATTATAATGTCTCGCCCTTCCTTCTTGCACATGAGGTGCCGGGTTCCTGAGAAGGGAAAGTGGCTTGTCCAACATGGACACAGTGAGGACAGTCTTCCCTGAGGATTATCAACCTGCTCGGGGAGGCTTCGTGGCCAGACCCTGGGGTCACCTCTCCTCCTTCCACTCAGAGGAGGTCCACAGACCATTCTCTCTCAAATTCCATCTCAATTTTTTAAACAAATATTTTATTTCATCTCGAGTCCAGTATTTATTTTTTCTGGCTGTTAGACTGTTTAGTTTTGTTGCTATAAATGTTTCATCTGTGACCATTTGGTTACTATTTGTACTACTTTACTTTATCAAGGCGCAAGCTGGCTCTTTATCGCCGTAAGATCCTTCTTCATCAAATATAAGTACCATCTCATGGCTGGCATGGGCTCATGCGGCCATGATCCTAGCACTCTGGGAAGCCACGGGAGGCAGATTGTTTTGAGCTCAGGAGTTCGAGACCAGCCTGAGCAAGAACGAGACCCTCTCTACCAAAAAAAAAAGATATAATAGGAGAAATTGGCTGGACAGCTACAAAGAATATATAGAAAAAATTAGCTGGGCATAGTAGCACATGCCTGTGGTCCAGCTACTCAGGAGGCTGAGGCAGAAGGATTGCTTGAGCCCAGGAGTTTGAGGTTGCTGTGAGCTAGGCGTGATGCCACGGAACCTAGCCTGGCGCAACAGAGTGAGACTCTGTCTCAAAAAAAGGAATTAAAATAATATATATACGGTACCGTCATCTGATCTGATCTAACATGCTGCCAGGTGTTTTTACCCTGGATTTTGTAACTGGAGATCCACCAATGTGTATTTCTCTAGTGTTGTCTAGGAGGTTGCAAGATGAGATCGAACGATTGGTCCTCTGAAACCCAGAAACATCTAGAATCCCTTCTCTTCACCCCCAGAGCCCCTAATGAGAATAATGAGTTGTGAAGAAAAAAAAAAAAAAAGAAAATATCAGGCAGAGTAGCATTCAGACCTTCGGCCAAGGCCTTTAGAAACTGCGAGTGGACAAGCTGTGATGGAGTTGGGGAAGAACTCCACCAGACCAGTCCACCCTTTGGGTTCCTTTCCATTTGACATAAGGAGTGGCGCGCTGCTGCCCCAAGCTGTCTCTGGGCCTGGGCACGGGCGGTGAACCTGGGGCGAGCATGAAAGGCGAGAGAAGCCATCGCTAGAGAAGCGCAAGGGAACCCGCCAGAGAGGCGGAGCCTGGCTCCCCCTAACGAGGCGGCAGTCATTCCATCTACTTTCGAAAAGCAAAGACAATCGTGTAGTTCAGTCCTCCTTCTGTGTAGTTCCAGGACCACAACCCGCGCGACCCTACTTCCCCCAGATACCAAGAAACTCCCTCAATTCCATTTTCCCACGATATACAAATGGGCGCCGTAAATTGCATAATAACCTGTGCACATTTCCCGTATATTTACTAGTCATCTCTGGATTACTTGAACGACCTAGTATGAGATGTCGCAGTGCCATGTAAAGGTAGTTGTATATGCAGTATTTTTCTTAATTTGTGGCTTTTCTTGTGTCTTATTACTTGCCACAGCTGCTGCGGCTGATCACAGATGGCTGAGCCCCCAAAATGCTACGACTCACGATCACAGAAGCCAACTATAACGAATTTCTTTTTTTTCTTTTTGAGACACGACGTCTCACTTTGTCTGCCCAGGCTAGAGTGATGCCGGTGGGTGTCATGCCTGTGCTCCACAGCAACCTCAATCCCTGGGTCACGTGGCATCCTCCTGCACTCAGCCTCACCACAGTAGCTGGACTAGACAGGCTGCGCCACCATGCCGCTACTTTTCTATTATATAGATTAGGTTGCCCAAAGTTAAGTTCTTCTCTAGTTTATGTAAGCAAAGGGGTATGCCGCTTCTGCTCAGGCTGTTGTTGACACTCCTGTACCCTTGACGCGATCTCCGCTCACCCTCCCCACACGTGCTAGGATTAAGGCGTGAGCCACCTTGCCGACCTGTTGTAATTTCTTTGTAACCGTTTCCAACTCAGTCATTAGTTTCATGAACTTGCCTTCTGGCTATTATTCAGAATTCCGTGATCCTGACGTGCACCTGTTGCTTCGCCCCTCCGCAGAGAGATCATAGACAACACCAGCAAGGAGAACGGGATCGACATCGTCATGGCCGACAGGACCTTCCACCTGATTGCGGAGTCTCCCGAAGATGCCAGGTGAGGTCTGCGCTGTTGACCTCTTCTTAACCCACATCCTCCAGAGACTCGAGCTCACACAGCGCCTCTATTCACTACTTTGGCTTTGAAAAGATTTTCATCGATTTTCTAGTTGGGTTTTTCTGTTAGGAAGGTTGAAGAACTGAGGGTCATGAGATACGTGCTTGTCCCTTGGGGAATACTCCCCTCGGCAGATGTGTTCAGGTACAGCACAAGGTTCAGGATTTCCGGCCTCGTACGCCTCTGGACAGATGCCTTGCTATCTCAGCTCAGGCACTCGTTGTCACTGGCAGCACGTGCAAACTGTGCAGCTACGGAAAGCTGAAAGCCCACCCTCTGGAAGCTTCTGAGCTTTGAAAGTGGACAGCTTGTATTTGCATAAAGATCAGAAGAGCAGAGAGCATTAACTGGTGGCTGTTTAAATAAGCGACAGTGCTACATGGCCTTTGGAGAGTTTTCAGGGTCTCAATATTGAAGGATTCAATGGAAGAGCTATTTATTACCTTACCTAGAACTTACTATATTTCAGGCAATGCTCTAAATGTTTCACATGTATTAACACATTTACATCTCATGACAGTCCTACAGGATAAGTGTTAATATTATTACCCTTATCTGCATCTGCAGAACAGGCGACTAGAGTACAGAGAAAGGAGAGTATAATTTGAAAGCTCAATTCAGTTGAGTGGAGACATTAAGTGTCTTACATTTCTTTCTTAAAGAGCTTTAATTTTTGACTAAGGTTTGACTAAGGAAATGGGGTCCTTCATTAGCTAAGAAGAAAAGGTGTCTAACTTTTCCGGACCTAAGGTTTCCATGTTGGAGTACAGGGAGACACAGCATATAATTAAGGAGGATTGTTATTTGTTCTTCAGTGTGACACATACGGTGGATATGACATACTGGAGTGTCTGTTCCTGCTGCCCTGTGAGTCTGGAGGGTTATATCTGAGGTGTCAGTCATCTGCTCTGAGCAACTCTAGGGAATATCTTTTGATTTACGAGGGTAACATCCAATGGCCTATATTCTTCAATTTTCTCAGCCCAGAAATCATTAGAACCTTCCTGTGAGTTCTCAGGACCTCTCGCTACCCTTTGCCCTTTGAATGTTTCTGGGTTGATACGACACCATGGTAGCAATGTTAAAGGTGAAGACGCCAGAAAATAATTCTTCTCATGGGAGCAAACTGAAACCCTGCTTGCGCCCATAAATTCTAACACAAACTGGAAAAACAAGCAAACCTGGAAATTACAGCCCATCATTCCATCTGGGACTCCTAGAGACCACATGTGGTTTTTTTGTGGTGTGGGGAATGCCCACAGCTTTTCTGCTGAATTATAGGCCCAGCATTTGGCAGCTGCCCTGTCTGTTTTGTGCCATAATGAACCTGCTAAATTTAACATTTGGAATATTTATCTAAGCACTTTTTCCCCTGACTAGCAGAACACATTTTTAAAAATATCTTTCAGATTCTGAGTGATACTTGATTCAGGAGAAGAAATTTAGAAATTTAAGAGTATAATCTATACAGATTGAAAGCACAACAAATACTATGCCTTTGTGTGTGTGATTTCATGTGACCAAATCTTCAATGTATGTATTTTTCAATGTTTAATTTGGGATAGTTTTGAGCTTAGTGAAACAATGAAGTCTTGTCTTTTGGTTAACCAGAATTGTTGGAGCAAATTCATAATAAGATATTTCCCTTGGTCTCCTGAAGAGTCTGTACATATTGAATATTTTCTAGCTCTTGGTCATATTTTTCTCCTTCAGGAATCACAGGAGATAGATTTTAGCACTTTGCTATAAATAATTTACATGGCATACCTTTATATATGTGTGCTATTTTTTCATTTGAATATCCCATTGCATACCAAGTGCTTTCCCTCTGCCTTAAATAGTGGGCATGTATATATATATGTCTTATAAGCCCCCACAGGAGAAGGATGCACTAGCCTCTCTCACATTTGGTACCTCTCACATTTTATAGTTGTTCAATTTTGTCAAGTGGTTAGAAACCCCATCCTGAGAATGCGTAGAAAAATAGACATCAAATGGTTGTTCTGAGATGATACTTACATTGTCGACCTTCTTACTTTGAAATTTACTTTTCTTTTTAAAAAAAAAAAAAAATGACTAAATGTCCCCTAAGTTATAAATAGGATCTTCAGTAAAGATTCTTGATGTAAGTATTTTGGGTGGAACTCAGGATTTCATTATTTGCGTGCTGCTCATTTCTCAAGGAACTCCTTTTCATCATCAAACGTCTATAAAGGTCTGTGGGACCTGGAGGGCAAGTTCTTCCATTGGAACATACGGTACTGTAGGTACTTTGGCTACTTCTAACTTTACTCCTTGGTCATATAGAACTCACACTCACCCACGAGAATTAGGCAAATTGAAAGCAAAGGTGCTCGGAGGAGACCTCACTTTGCAGAGGACGTGGAGAAGGGCACGTTGTTTTGCAGTCCCGAGGATGGCCGCTCCTTGACTGTCGCTTGCTCTGTCTTCCCCGCAGCCAGTGGTTCAGCGTGCTGAGTCAGGTCCACGCGTCCACGGACCAGGAGATCCGGGAGATGCACGACGAGCAGGCAAACCCCCAGAATGCCGTGGTGCGTGCTCGTGGCTGGGTGCAAGGGGGCGGCCGAAGGGCGGGGGCAGGAGAATGGTGACAGCAAGAAGGACGGGGCTGGGAATTCCCAATGTTTTTTGTTAAGTAAAAGTATGATAAAGGAGACAAACAGGACCATTTGCGTTAAAAATCATGCATGAAAACAATAAATTATAAAAGGTTATAAGTAGTAATACTTGGTAATTCTCCCATCTCAAACCTTTAAAAGAAAACAAAAGATCCCAGTTTCTTTTTTTCTTTTTTGAGACAGAGTCTCACTTTGCAGCCCAGGCTAGAGTGAGTGCTGTGGCGTCAGCCTAGCTCACAGCAAATTCCAACTCCTGGGCTCAAGCAATCCTCCTGCCTCAGCCTCCCAAGTAGCTGGGACTACAGGCATGCACCACCATGCCCAGCTAATTTTTTTCTCTATATATTAGTTGGCCAATTAATTTCTATTTATAGTAGAGATGGGGTCTCGCTATTGCTCAGGCTGGTTTCGAACTCCTGACCTTGAGCAATACACCCGCCTCGGCCTCCCAGAGTGCTAGGATTACAGGCGTGAGCCACCGCGCCCGGCCCCCAGTTTCTATGCAGTCATGGAAGCACATTACACTTTGCTTCAAAGGACTTGGTGAATTCTACATTGAATACTTTCTATCTTCACTCTATCCAAAACACATATACAAAGTCATAAAGTTCTCTTTTAGACATAAGGTTTTTATTTCCTCATTAAAAAAAGCTTAAATAAAATTTCTTAGCAGAATAAGTATAAAAATCTAATGAACGGTCACAATATAAATTAGAAAATTTGCCTATCGAAAGAAGTTCATAAACACTCTTCACTGAAGACATTTTAGGAACAAGAGCAAATGATTAATGCATAATTTTTCAAATAAATGGACTGTGGATTCTGCCCTGTCTGGAGGCTGTTTGTAGTTCCTAAATGAAGGGAACCTTTCTTAGATAACTAGTATTTTGCAGTTAACTGAAAAAAAGAAAGAGCCTTTTCTGTTTGCTTTTTATGGAGTTGTAAGCTAGGGATGTTGCTATAATGTACGTCCTACTTTAGTAGTCCTGCATTCAAATCTGCCTTTTGCTCCTTTCCAGGGTACTTTGGACGTGGGGCTAATTGATTCCGTGTGCGCCTCCGACAGCCCCGACAGGTAAGCTCAGATACGGCATTGAGCAGAGGTGATTAAGCCCCTGCAGGTGCCCACCCGGTGTCCATGCTGTGGGGCCCACTCCCCACTCGCTGGGCTGTGAAATCGCCCCAGGCCGCGTGTCTTACCTCGTCAGCCCCGGGGATCCCAAGCCCTCCTGCTCGGGGCTCAGTTTGACATCACCCAGACGTCTTCCTCTCCGGGTATCTTTGGAGTGCTGGGGAAAACAGTGGAAACTTAATTTAGACAATTTTAAAAAAAAATGCATCAAAGTAATATTTTTTATTTGGATACACAAACTTGGGATTCACATGGGAAGAAAATGCCTGTTCAGGAAAATGGTGTTGCAGCAGGGAGAGGGGTGTAGTGCCCCCTTCTGAACTTAATAGTGAGCTTGCAAAGGATTTTGATTATAATGTATATGCAGGATATTAGTAAATCAAACCACACATATTTTCCTTGATATTTCTACCTTCTCTGTGCCCTTAAAATAGCGTGTGGGGTGTGGTTTTTTATTTTATTTTATTTTTTATTTGTTTGTTTTGTTTTTTATTTGTTTGGTTTTTGGGGGGGTTTTGTGAGACAGAGTCTCACTGTGTTGCCCAGGCTAGAGTGATGTGGTGTCAGCCTAGCTCACAGCAACCTCAAACTCCTGAGCTCAAGCGATCCTCCTGCCTCAGCCTCCTGAGTAGCTGGGACTACAGACATGTGCAACCGTGCCTGGCTAATTTTTTCTATATGTATTTTTAGCTGTCCAAGTAATATATTTATATTTTTAGTAGAGACAGGGTCTCACTCTTGCTTGGGTTGGTCTTGAACTCCTGAGCTCAAACGATCCACCCACCTCAGCCTCCCAGAGTGCTAGGATTACAGGTGTGAGCCACCTCATCCGGCTGATGTTTTTCTTTAAAAAGATGTGTTTATCCAAAAAGCTGTGTTTTGTTTTTTGAAGGCAAATCGTCTTCAGAGATGGTCTAGGAGTCTTTATACCCAGTGAGCTTTGTCTTTAGCATCTCTCTTTTTCTATCCTGCTTGTAAATTCTGTTTCTGCCCTCAGTAAGATAGCCAGAAAGTAATGACTGCATTAACAGGGAAAACAAAAACTAGTGCCTACTTGGCAGAATTAGGGTTTGGAGGTTTCTGTCACCCTACCATAGGCAAAGGCTCTTCCAATCCATGGAGCCTTTGGTTTTAGTAGTCAGCCTGCACCGTCTTACACCTGGCTTAGGAATCTTTACATGTCATGTCGATAATCAAAGCCAAAGATTTCTCATATCCTGGTATGTAAGTTCTACCTTACCTTCCTGACATCTTTCTTCTCCCACCCCCTTCATTCCTCCCGGCCAGGCATGTGATGGTCCATGCTTAGAATCTGCTCTCATCCTCAACTGCCCACCTTTATCCCTTCCCAACTATAGATAAACCCTTTTTAAAAAAAATAATTTTAAGGGGCACCTCAAGTCCAATTTTTTTGCATAGCTCTCCCTGTCTCCTGTGGTCCAGTTCTTCTTTTTCTTGAACTTTCATAGCACTTAACTATAGTGACTATTTGAAGTCTTGCAAGACTTTTGACTATTTGAAGACTTGCAAGAAAGTTCACATTCACCAGCTTATGCATTTAGATAGAGGAATTAGTACACACGAGGGCCCATGAGAGGTTCAGCCAGTGCCAGACAAAAAAGGCGAGGGAGAGTAAATTTCCATGATCACGTCATCCGTGACTAGGAAATGCACCCCTGCTAAATTGCTTTGGAAACAAAGACCCAGGCGGCTTTTTATACAAGGCATAATCAGCTGTTTAAGATGTTCCACCTATAGCTATTTGCTGATCCTCTTTTATTGCTGGTGTCAGACATTTCATTACCCACCCACAGAAATATTACCCAAGGCGGAAAGAAATTGACTTTGGAGAAACATCAAAAAAAACTTTTCCCCTGTGGTCACCTTATTTAGCCTTCCGGGAACTGAGTTCCATCTGGAAAGTTTTGCATGAAGAAATGTTTTCCTTTCCAGGACCTTCAGAACGAATGTGTTGCTCCAAGTTTAAAGGTTAATGATGCATAAAACAAATCCTGCAGAAATGAGCAAGGTCTGCCTTGATATAAAATACGAATAGCATAGCAGCGTGTATCCCCGTGACCCTTTTTCCCTGGAAGGGGGCATTTAGTCTTGGTTCAGACAGAGGTGATGCCAACAGCAGAGCTAAGAGGCTTCCTTCCCACCTTGTCACGCAGACCCAATTCGTTCGTGATCATCACGGCCAACCGGGTGCTACACTGCAACGCGGACACGCCGGAGGAGATGCACCACTGGATCACGCTGCTGCAGAGGTCCAAGGGGGACACCAGGGTGGAGGGCCAGGAGTTTATAGTGAGAGGTGAGTAGCTCCCATTGCTTCCTCTGCCATTTCCTAAAGTCTTATTTTCATTTGCATAGACATCTGCAGGATTTTTATTTTGAGCAGCTTTTTGAAGTCTGTTTTAGACTCTTGACATTTTTTTAAAAATAATCAGATAAGAAATGATCCTAGCCATTTCCTGGCAAGTAGGTAGAAATGCAACCCATCTGTAAGCATGATGCAAGTGATTGTGTGATATTTGGGGTTTCTCTTCATACTTTTTTTTTTTTTTTTTGAGACAGAGTCTCACTCTGTTGCCCGGGCTAGAGTGCCGTGGCATCAGCCTAGCTCACAACAACCTCAAACTCCTGGGCTCAAGCAATCCTGCTGCCTCAGCCTCCTGAGTAGCTGGGACTACAGGCATGAGCCACCAAGCCCAGCTAATATTTTCTATATATTTTTTAGTTGGCCAGTTAATTTCCTTCTATTTTTAGTAGAGATGGGATCTCGCTCTTGCTCAGGCTGGTTTTGAACTCCTAACCTTGAGTGATCCTCCCGCCTCAGCCTTCCAGAGTGCAAGGATTACAGGCATGAGCTACCACGCCCGGCCTCTTTGAACTTTTTAATTCACTCTTTAATCTTCCTTTCTAGGATGGTTGCACAAAGAAGTAAAGAACAGTCCAAAGATGTCTTCCCTGAAACTGAAGAAACGGTGGTTTGTACTAACCCACAATTCCCTGGATTACTACAAGAGCTCAGAAAAGAACGCCCTGAAACTCGGCACCCTGGTCCTGAACAGCCTCTGCTCGGTCGTCCCCCCGGACGAGAAGATATTCAAAGAGACAGGTAACCAGGCCGTGTGTGCATAGCCAGCTGGGCCCCAGACTCCGAGCCTCAAATCTTACAAGGCCCGGGCTTATTCCAAGCAAAGGATTAAGAGTCCCACCTTGTGTGTGCACTTTGTGTTTTCCCAGCGAAGCCCTTTCCTTGTTGATTTATCTTCCAAGACTGACTGTGGTTAGCTGTATGAACACTCAGTATTTAAACCACAGTAGAGAGATCGTAATTTATGGAGTTGTAAGTAGAGTCTTGTAAGGACAGGAAAATGTAAACAGATTCAGGTCATCCTACAGGAGGCTTTTATTTTTACATACCTGTGTTTTTGTCTTTTTCACCATTATATGATGAGGGTCGTATGCAACCCACAGAAGATAAATCCTGACTGTCAGTGAACTTAGCCTAGTAGCATAAAAAGAAACGTGAGCTTAGAGGGTTTTTCTTTTTTAATTTGTGGTACTATACAAGTATTTCTAGAAGATTGTTTATTTTGATTTTTGTTGCTAGTGCTGTTTGTTTATTAACATAGGTAATAACATATTAGCATAGTTGCTCCATTCCTGCTAGGTATGGGTGATGGTTCTGTCTCAGAACACACGGACTCCCTTGCATAAGTGTTTTCTTCTGAAGAGACAGACTAAGAAAAGGAAAGGAAGGAACAGGAAGTCAGAAATCTGAGGGAAGACTTTTCACTCTTGTTCCAAGGCCCAGAGAGACAGAGATGTTAGCTTATATCCGTTATTTTCTTGCAGAGCAGACGTTTACAATTTACCTTTATACGTCTAATTCTGGCTTTATTGTAACAAGGGTTGTCTTCCCCTCTCAGCTGTAAACTCCACAGGGCAAGGGGCACCTGATTTTTGCTCGTCACAGGATACCTGGTACAGGGCAGGACCCATATAGGAATTCAGCAAGTTTTTGTTAACCGAATGATTAGCATAAAGGGACGAAGGTCAGAGACAGCATGGGCTTCTAATGCTGCTGAGTGTCTGGGACTCTGGTACAAGAACATCCCCGTGGTCCCCGAGGCCAAGGTTGATGGATGTGTGTGCTGCCATCGCAGGTTATTGGAACGTCACCGTGTACGGGCGCAAGCACTGCTACCGGCTCTACACCAAGCTGCTCAACGAGGCCACCAGGTGGTCCAGCGCCATTCAAAATGTGACCGACACCAAGGCTCCGATCGACACCCCCACCCAGCAGCTGATTCAAGACATCAAGGTAAGACAAGACAAGCCCACCGGGGTGGCCCTGCGCTCTGGATTCTACCCTTGGAGCATCAAGACCTCAGCATTAGTCGAGCTTAAATTTTATTCTGTAATGAAAATTAGTATTTGGTTCATTTTGGGGCTTGAGGTACCCCTGCTTTTAGGAATCTAACTGAGGTTCCAGGTGAAATTTTATACTAAAAGTGTTTTGTCTCGGTGGAGGTGTTAGGCGAGAGGACGTTGGTCTGCAGTTGAGGGTGTAGGACGCCCTGCCCCCCACGCACGGGGATGTAGTGATTGTGTTGGGAGCCACCTGCCCTGCCGCAGGTTTCACCCCAGCCCCAGCTGGGGACCTTCTAGGCGTCACACAGTAGTTCTACTGCACAGTTTCCAGACCACGCGAGTGGATTCAGAAGGAACCCAGATGGGTCTAGAATACTTGGGGTTTCCGTCAGGCACCTCCAGACTCCTGGAAAGTTTAGTCGCTCAGTGAGTGTATGTTACATGAATGAACGAACGGCTCGGTGGCAGGCACGAGCAAAGAGGTGTCACCCTCGGTTTCCAGGGATGGAACTGGAGACGCCGGCTACTCCGGCTGTCTTGCTCACACAGCTGCTCGGTCCCCGTGCAGATCCAAGTCACGGGAATTACTCTTGCTGCTGTTTGCCCAAGTTTCCTGTGCAGGCAGCTTCTCAGGGCGAAAGACGGAACTGAGGCTATGACAGAAGATACTAGAATGATAGTGAGGCAGGTATCTTACTGAAGGACATCAAAGAAAATTAGCTAATCAGATCCAAGAGGCAACCCTGCTTTCGTGGAGGTGGGAGAGGGTCTAATATCAGTGGTATATCATTTCCCACCAAATTCAAGTTGGCCTCCGGATGCCAAAGTGTGATACGTTTTCTGGGTATTTGGAGCCAGTTTCCAGCAAGCCGGTGGTTCTCCAATACTCCAGAGCTTTCCATGGAACCCAAGGCGCTAGATACAAACAATTTCATTTTTACCCTTAAAAAATGATTTTTTGAAGCTTTCTTTTGAGAAAGGAATAAGAATTTCACATAACAGCAAACTTTCTCTTCAAAGCTATATTTTATCTGTTTTTGTATTTTCTACTTGATTGAAATTCAGACATTTAAAAGAGTGAACAGAATTTTCCAAATATGAAACATTGCATCTTAAGAAATGAGTCAAGTTACTCTAAAGAAGGATATACAAAATTTCTTTAAGTAATTAACAGAAAAATTTATTTTGGCTTCCCATTGGATGTTATTGAAAAAGTTTTATAGTGGAAATGAACTTAGCATGACAGAATGATTCATTGCCTCTCCTCCAACTTTTCTGTTTATTTAAAGGGCTAAAAGTAACTTTGGCTTTTTCATATCCCAGATTAACATTTTAGGAGCATAAATACATGATGCAATCCTGTGAGGAGCTGTCTTAAATTTCAAGGGTGGAAGTGAAGGCACACAACACGGAAGAATAGTCTTCCCCAATGACTTCCTACCATGTGTAGTTTTCAGGTGTAGAGAGAGCACAAAAGGACAGTTAAAGAGATGGCAAAATGTATTTTTTTTATTTATTTATTTATTTTCTCTTAGACCCAAGGAGAGTGATTTTTTTTTTTATTTATTTTCTCAAAATGTATTTTTTAAGTGAATTAAAGATTGACGTGATTGCTGACTAAAAGAAGTTAAAATAAATTTTCTTAAGTATATATAAACCTCCCGAGGTGGGGCGGGTTTTTAAATAACTTAGGGAAATATATGAACATGCAATGAAGAGAATGAGCTATGGGAAGAATGTATTTTTGTGATTTGTCTGCAAACACAGGTTGTGGGCATCTTCGTGCTTGAAATTACCAGCACTAGATTCCTCTGCTGTTACTCCACCGGGCTTAGGGACATGAGACTTTATTCATATGTAGGAAAATACAGTTGATTTTGTTCGTGTCGGTGTAGGTTTTTCACGGTAAGCTTGCTTTCTCTCTCATAATGGCTCGTAATTTTCAAGGAGAACTGCCTGAACTCGGACGTGGTGGAGCAGATCTACAAGCGGAACCCCATCCTCCGATACACCCACCACCCGCTGCACTCCCCACTCCTGCCCCTGCCGTATGGGGACATCAACCTCAACTGTGAGTCCGCGGTCCCCGCACTGCTCTGCAGAGGCTGTGACGCCCTTTTCCCTGCTGAGTCTTGAGCTCGAACATAGTAGCATTTCTTTTAGTTCAAAGACTCTCTTAGTCCTCGTGAATGGGGAGAAAAAGATAAAATATGGTCATTAGTCATCACCAAAGCAGGGATTTTAGAGTGTGGTTGCAGTCATGCAAGGATTGATTGTTGTAGTGAAAGAAAAGACTTAAAGGGAAGTCAGAAAACATCAGCACTGCCCATGAACTCAGAGTAGCCTTTAGTATACTGGACCCCCAGAACCTAAACTACTTTGTGTTCCAAATATGGAACCCATCTGGCAACAGACTAGCTTGTAAGTAAGCGTTTTGTGTAGTAAAAAGTTCAATTATATAACAAAACGTTGTCACTTACCCTCCTCTGCCTTTTTAGAGCTTTGTTCAGCTGATTTAAATGTGTAGGGAATGGGTGGGCACTGTCTCATGAACTGGCTGTTTTTCCCCATTTATTCTTCCTTTTATCCACTGCTCAGGTTATACTCTCTCTAAAGCCCTCGTGTGACGTCTGTGTTTATTTGCTTGTCCTAGTGCTCAAAGACAAAGGCTACACAACCCTGCAGGATGAAGCCATCAAGATATTCAATTCCCTCCAGCAGCTGGAGTCCATGTCTGACCCTATTCCAATAATCCAGGGCATCCTACAGACGGGGCATGACCTCCGACCTCTGCGAGATGAGCTTTACTGCCAGCTCATCAAACAGACCAACAAAGTGCCCCATCCCGGCAGTGTGGGCAACCTGTACAGCTGGCAGATCCTGACGTGCCTGAGCTGCACCTTTCTGCCAAGTCGGGGGATTCTCAAGTATCTCAAGTTTCACCTGAAAAGGTAAAGCACGTGGGGATGTGAGGTGAGCTGGGCAAGGGGTGGTGTGATGGGTCCTCATTCAGATAAAGAGGCTCTTAAACAGAAGACACCTCGAGGCCAGGCTCAGTGGCTCACACCTGTAATCCCGGCACTCTGGGAGGCCAAGGTGGGAGGATTGTTTGAGCTCAGGAGTTCGAGATCAGCCTGAGCCAAGAACAAGACCACGTCTATACTGAAAAAGGAAAAAATTAGCCAGCCACAGTGGTGCATGCCTGTAGTTCCAGCTACTCGGGAGGCTGAGGCAGGAGGATCGCTTGAGCTTGGGAGTTTGAGGTTAGTGTGAGTTATGATGATGCCACTGCACTCTAGCCAGGGCGACAGAGCAAGACTCTGCCTAAGAAAAGAAAAAAAAAAGATACTTCCAATGGGGCAGGGACCTCCGGGTCACACTCCTAGGTTACCTGAGCAAGCTTAGAGAATGCAAACACCCTTTTTCTCTTTAAACCACACAAGGTTATTTTCAGGGACCCTGTCACTTCTGGTTGTAACATCCTAATGTGTAGGACATTGGATACATTCAATTACCGGGAGAAAACAAAACAGCTTGGATAGTTGTTCCAAATCAAACAGGTGGAAATAATCTGGTTGATATTTTGATTAGCTTTGGGAAGACACTGTTCATACGACAGTATGAAGCATGGTTCTTTCAAATATTAACAGTGCTGCAGAGGCGAGCTGGCATCGAAAATGCTCTCAGTCAGACACTGGCTCTGAGGGGTTTATTTTGTGTTTAAACTGAATCTGCACAGACTGAACTGGGCCCTTGCCAGGAAGTCACTAGTGCTCTGTTCACCGCTGGGGGGGGCCCCGTTCACAGTCCTGTTCTGCACCACCTTGACACGGCCCAGCCCCCCGGCCCCCGGAAGCCAGCCCTCCTCGACCTAGCCATTAACAGCCGGTGTTTGTCTCCTAGGATACGGGAACAGTTTCCAGGAACCGAAATGGAAAAATATGCCCTCTTCATCTACGAATCTCTCAAGAAAACCAAATGCAGAGAGTTTGTGCCTTCCCGAGATGAGATAGAAGCTCTGATCCACAGGCAGGAAATGACATCCACGGTGTATTGCCATGGCGGAGGCTCCTGCAAGATCACCATCAACTCCCACACCACGGCCGGGGAGGTGAGGCAGGCTCATTCCGTCTGGGGCGTTACTGCTTGTACGCCTGAGTCAGGAAGGTTGCATGTCATTTGTTGGGCTAGCATGCACGGTTGCTGTTTACAGAGTACAGCTGCTCAGTGAACAAGGAAGTAAGTGTAACCTGCAACTAACCGCACGTATAGAGAGATAGAGGTACGTATTAAGATGAGAGGAAACACAGAGTTAAACTCCTGCTGAAATATCTGAGACATAATCTTGCTAATCTGAGAAGCACCCAAGTATCTGGTAGTGATTGCAGACCTGACTCAGATATACCCACTTTTTTTTTTTTTTTTTTGAGACAGAGTCTCGCTTTGTTGCCCAGGCTAGAGTGAGTGCCATGGTGTCAGCCTAGCTCACAGCAACCTCAGACTCCTGGGCTCAAGCAATCCTGCTGCCTCAGCCTCCCGAGTAGCTGGGACTATAGGCATGCGCCACCATGTCCGGCTAATTTTTCCTATATATATTAGTTGGCCAATTTCTTTCTTTCTATTTTATAGTAGAGACGGGGTCTCGCTCTTGCTCAGGCTGGTTTCGAACTCCTGACCTTGAGCAATCCGCCCTCCTCGGCCTCCCAGAGTGCTAGGTTTACAGGCGTTAGCCACCGCGCCCGGCCCGGATATACCCACTTTAATGAGAGTTCATTGTATTGCTTCTGCATCAAGGTTTGCCACATGATTATCTAGAATGTTGGATCAGAATGCACGTATTCTTTTTACATTTAAACTTATTATTATAAAATTAACTGACCGAAAAAAATAGTGCAATAAAACCATCCCAAAAGGCTTCTTGTGTAGAAGAAATGTCGTCTGAAATCACTTTGGTTTCTTGGAGTTTGTGAATTTATCAGATAAAAGACAGGGCTTCAGTTCTTCATCTACCTTTCCTGCTAATATGGGTTTGCAAGATATCAGCCCAGCTTCTTCCCCTACTGATGAGCAAAATACTCTGTGTTCTTTCTTGGCAAGAAAGACATAGGACTAATTTCAAGGGAACGGGGGAAAAACAGAACCTTTGAAAGTCTGGGGTGACCACATATGACAGTTTTCAGGGACTGCTTGTAGCCTCACTTGTGGCGGCAGCTCCATCTAGGTTCAGATGAAGGCACGTTCTAGAAGCCACTGAACCCCCACCCCCCACATGTCTTCCAGGTGGTGGAGAAGCTGATCCGGGGCCTCGCCATGGAGGACAGCAGGAACATGTTCGCCCTGTTTGAGTACAATGGACACGTCGACAAGGCCATTGAAAGCCGAACCATTGTGGCTGATGTTTTAGCAAAGTTTGAAAAGTAAGTTCCTTTCCCTAAAGTGCCAGAAAAGTAAAATAAGAGAAACTAACAACCAGGTTGAGAATTTGAACTTCTGTTCCATTTTTGGCTTCATCGTGTATTGGAGTTAGTTTTATTTTATGCATGTTGAAGCCTATATAATTTTCTGTTTCTCTCTGTTGATTCCTAGATAGTTGATCATGATTTAACTCGTCAGGAGTCCTGTACCCCATTCTTTCTCCCAGTCTCCCGTAGTCCTCATTTTCTTGGGATTTCTTTAATTTTTAGGTTTCCACTTATCATTAGCTTTGAAACTGAGCTAATGGACTCAAACCAACTTAACAGACTCTTCAAACTACATTTTTTTTTTATCTACCATGTAAAATGGACCTGCACTATTTGATCTACGATTTCACATCCCCTGTGTAGCACAAAAGATACTTCTGCTTGGTGTGAACACAGCCCCCATAAAAGAATATTCATGTCATTTATTATAAATGTTACTGTAATTTGTTTGAGGCTTGGTAAAGGAAATAAAGAAATATGCTTTGTTTTTTTTCTTTTTACACATTCAGCATAGTGCTTAGCTAGTGCTAATTAGACTGGCCCTTGTTAGCTCAGCATTTAACTGAGGCTGCCTGTTTGTTTTCTTAAGTTGAGACCAGAATGCAAGGTTAGGTCCCATTTCTGGGCACTCTGATAAGCCTCCCTTTTCTTGTTCCATTTGTTCCTCCATCCGCTTGTCCACGCTGTTGGCCTGGACAGAGCGTCTGTACCCTTATAGAGAATATGCCACAGAAAGTCAGCTCCCTGCGGGTCACTGAAGGCCCCTCTCTCGTTTTGCCTTCTGAGTCTATCCTGACTTTCATCCGTAGGCTGGCGGCCACGTCAGAGGCGGGGGACCTGCCGTGGAAATTCTACTTCAAACTCTACTGCTTCCTGGACACAGACAACGTGCCAAAAGACAGTGTAGAATTCGCATTTATGTTTGAACAGGTAAAAAAAGACGTTTAGAGACAGGTTTCTTTGCCGGCAAAAGAAAATGAATCCCATTAACACACCTTAGACATTTACTGCTATTCCTTAGAAGTTGGGAGTGGCTTAGATTTCCCAGCAAAAAACAAAGCTGGCTGCTCTTTCACTGTTTTGCAGAATGAAACTTCTACACATTTTATTTGAACGTCCATGCTAGGAGGTGTTCTAATTGGTGGGAGAGAGACCATAAGGAATAAAATACAGAACATGGGTCAGATAGTATTTATGCTGGGGAGAAATTGAAATTTGAAGCAGCAAAAAGGGGTTAGGGTGCACTTTGCAGCAGGGCAGTCTGGGAAAGCGACAATTCGAGAGAAACCCTGGCGGGGTGAGGAAGCCACGCGGGCATCCCATTGCACAGCAGTGCCTTGAGCTGAAAGCTGACGTCCGCTCCTTTCAGGCCCACGAAGCTGTCATCCACGGCCACCACCCGGCCCCTGAGGAGAACCTGCAGGTCCTCGCTGCCCTGCGGCTGCAGTACCTGCAGGGGGATCACACCCCGCACGCCGCCATGCCGCCTCTGGAGGACGTCTACTCCCTGCAGAGGCTCAAGGCCCGCGTCAGCCAGTCCACCAGAAGCTTCACGCCGTGCGAGCGGCTGGAGAAGAGGCGGACAAGCTTCCTGGAGGGGACCCTGCGGCGGAGCTTCCGGACGGGGTCGGCCGTGGGCCGGCAGAAGGCGGAGGAGGAGCAGATGCTGGACATGTGGATTAAGGAGGAGGTCTCCTCTGCCCGAGCCAGTATCGTCGACAAGTGGAAGAAATTTCAGGGAATGAACCAGGAAGAGGCCATGGCCAAGTACATGGCCTTGATCAAGGAGTGGCCTGGCTACGGTTCGACGCTCTTCGATGTGGAGGTGAGAACGGCTGGGCGTCTGAGGACGTGGCTCACGCCCAGGTCCGTGTGGAGGGCAGGCGAGATGGAGAGCTTTGCTCTCTCGCCCTCTTTCGTTAGAGCCCCCCACATTTTTCCATTGCAATCCCCCCCCCCCGTCTCCCCAGAGTTTTTATCCTCTGTACTAAATGCTTCTGTAATATTAGGAATGAATGCAAAATTAAGATGTCATCTATTCTTCATTTAAAAAATAAAGGCCAGGTGCGGTGGCTCACACCTGTAATCCTGGCACTCTGGGAGGCCGAGGCAGGAGGATCGCTTGAGCTCAGGAGTTCAAGACCAGCCTGAGCAAGAGCGAGACCCCGTTTCTACTATAAATAGAAAGAAATTAGCCAAAACAACTAAAAATAGAAAAAATTAGCCAGGCACTGTGGCACATGCCTGTAGTCCCAGCTACCCAGGAGGCTGGGGCAGGAGGATTGCTTGAGTCCAGGAGTTTGAGGTTGCTGTGAGCTAGGCAGACGCCACAGCACTCTAGCCCAGGCAAAAGAGTGAGATTCTTGTCTCAAAAAATAAATAAATAAATAAATAAATAAATAAAACCTCTTTAGAACTCTATATACAAATTAGAAACTTTGGATATACTTGCATTTTACCTCTTTATTTTTTCCCCGCAACCCTGTTCGAAGGGAAGAATTTCTATTTTATAATGGGAATTTATCCATTAGCATCAACCCACTACTGACTTTTTTTTTTTTTAAGTAGACCATTTACTGAAAAGAAATTTTGCTGATGGTCTAGATAAGAGTTTGGCAAACTGTGGCCTGTGGTCAAATCTCTCCTGCCTTCTTTTTTATAAATCAGGTCTTATTGGGATACAGCCAAGCTCGTTGCTTTAGGTGTTTTCTCTATTTTCATGCAGAAACTGCAGGGTTGAGTAGTTGTGAAGAGACTGTATGGGCCAAGATATTGAAGCCTCAGATATTGACTATGTGGCCCTTAACAGATAAGTTTGCCAGTCCCTGGTCTAGATTAGCTCCATTTTTCTTATGATCACAATAATTCAGCATTTATCTGATGACTTTAAATTGAGGCTCCGTATAAATCTAAATATTGATTACAGACTCTAAGATCCCTTAGTGACTTTTCGTTGGTTGCCATTTTTGGTTTACTCGGCTGATTGCTCCAATTATATTTGTTTTTAGGTATGAAAAATTCAGGTGCTTTGTATAACTCACCTCCTCTTTTCAGAGTCCCTGATTGACGCCCCTTTTGCTTGTACTGGTTCAGATCAGCCCTGTGTTGTTATCCCTGCAAATGGGCTCTTATTTTCTTCCCTCAGTCTGCACAAGGAAGCCTGTAGTTAAACCAGTGACATCCCTGTCCCTACTCTGTATCCACAAGGTCCTTGCGAAGAGCAGCCAGCACTACTCGGCATAGACCAATTTGGAGAATTCTCTGTGCTCCCAGGTTTTGTGTTTGAAGAGTAGCCATCCCAAACAGGATTGGGGGCAGAACGAGGGAGAGAAGAGTAGCCCTGGCCCAGGTTTGCTGGGGGTCTTTGTTAAACTATAGCCGCTTCCTAGTAGCTAATTCAGATGACTAGTGGAATGATACCGAGAAGTGGATAGTGAAAGCAAGACTTTCACTAATTTAATTAAATAGTCAGAAGGTCAACCCACATAGAGAGCTGCCATTTCTCAATTTCCAATCCCCCCCAAGCACGCGTGCACGTTGATTGCATTCGGTACTCTGTGCTTGACTCAAAGCCTGCCTTGAGTCAATTTCTTTATATGTGTCAGTTTCTTCCTGCTTTGTGATTGAACTCTTACTCCTGCCCACCAGTGCAAGGAAGGCGGCTTCCCCCAGGAACTCTGGCTGGGTGTCAGCGCGGACGCCGTCTCTGTCTACAAGCGTGGGGAGGGACGGCCGTTAGAAGTCTTCCAGTATGAACACATCCTGTCTTTCGGGGCGCCCCTGGCAAACACGTACAAGATCGTGGTTGACGAGAGGGAGCTGCTCTTTGAAACCAGCGAGGTAAGAGGCAAAAGCGAGGTAGTCCTTTCTTGCACGGCCTTGACAGAACAGAAAAACAACACCCCGTTTCCATTTGCCTTTGACCAAGTCGCTCTCTTTGAATATTTCTCTTTAAAACATGAAAATACGCTGTGGCTGTCCCTCCCCAGGTTCCAGTTCCTCAAAAGCCAAAAGCCGATAACACCAAATTTCTTCTGTATACCTGTGCAGCATAGAAATTCGGTTCCCCTGGATCAGGGAGCCTTAGAGGAAAGGAGAGAAAGGGAAATGATGTAGACATCCAAGAAGAAGTGTGTAGTTTGGCAGTGAAACCCGTGGAAGTTAGTTGGTGGTTATGGCAGAGACGCGGCTCCGAGACTGAGCTCTGGTGGCATCCACGGAGCAGGAGGGAGCTGAGGGGCTTGGCCACCCCCGGCATAGCTAATTCTGGGTCGCAAAATCACACACACTAAAAAAGCCTCTAAATATGTGGGCAGTCAGCTCCAATATTCAAAAAATGCAATAATACAAGAAGCCTATTGTGGCCACACAAAGGGAGCTGCTGGCACGCACAGGTGGTAGCGGAAGTGAGCTGCCCACTGCCTGCTACGTGACTCGGGGAACAAGGAGGGCGTTCAGGTGCTGGGAGGGTGGCTGCAGCAGGCTCACCAGGCTGGCCGGGCGATGTGCACCGAGAGGGTCCCAGGTGTCAGGATGCGGGATTTGATCAGATCCAGTAGGTAACAGGGATTCACCATGGGATCTTTGATCATGCGTGATGTAACAGCAGTGGTTTTATGAACAGCAATGTGGGGCGGGTTGGATGGAAACAGAAAGCAGGGAAACGGAAACCGGCTGTGGTGCTCTCACAAGGACCCAGGCCAGCCATGGGGAGGGTGGGCCAAAGGGGTGGCCATGATGGTGGCATCATTAGAAGGAACTAATGGGAGAGCCAGGCGTAAGGAGGTGGCTGGTATGGAACAGGAGGAGGCCTGGCATCCAGGGAGCTGACACAGCTCTCCCGGCCCCCGAGGGCCTCAGTTCCCTGTGGTTTCAGCACCATCTTGAGCATTGGATGGTCCAGTCTTTAAGTTGTGGACCATCGTTTCACATTGATTTTTAGCGGGAATAGTGATCCCAGCCCTCAGGATACCAACTGACTTTAGTGTCCTCAGGTAGGTTTGTTTTTTAATGTGCAAAATCTGACAGTTCACATCAAGCAAAATTGTCATTTTTGTGTGCAAGAACCACCAGGTGGTGCACACTGTTATTTGGAAAAGCCACAGTTCCCCTTCTATCTGGCCAGGGATAGGGAAAAGCAGCTCAACTCAGCTTCATACAGAACTCGGGCTGTGGATCGGCATCAAAGGCCGCTGGCTTTTGCGTGGAGGACGGACAGAGAACGTCCGGTTATGAGGCTGGGCCCTTTGACGGGGGTGGAGGCTCTTGACCACGTCTGCTCTGCTCGGCCCTGCAGGTGGTGGACGTGGCCAAGCTCATGAAGGCGTACATCAGCATGATCGTGAAGAAGCGCTACAGCACCACGCGCTCCGCCAGCAGCCAGGGCAGCTCCAGGTGAAGGCAGGGGTGCGCCCATGTGTCTTCGCTGTCTCAACGCGTCGCCCTCCGATGGCTCTGCTGTGCCGCGCCCAGCCAGGGGCAGAGCTGCCCAGGCTTTCTGGCCAGGCCCCTGGTCGGAGGGAGGTGTCTCCCAGGGTCCTTTCGCCCTGCCAACTTCAGCGATCCTGTATTAAGCTGTCAACCTTAACAGTCTGCACAATTTTCCAAAGCTTTACTACTCTCATAGATGACACATGCCTTAAAAAAAGAAAGAGGGGGAGAACCACGCTGCCGCCAAAGCAGCCAGAAGTGCCTTAACTTGTGGAACCAATACTAATCCACCTTCGCTGTGCTACTGAAGGGACTGCTGCCCCCGCTTTGGGGGGACTTACAGAGCTTGGAAGGGGGGCGTTATTCATCTATTATGCACTAACCTCCCAGCCCGATTTCCCTGAGTGTGAGGGAAGGTGAGGGAGTGGGGAGGGGGCCGAGAACACGAGGGGACAGTGTGTTTGAGTGGGAGTGCTGCTGGCAGCCTTCCTGGCGGACGTGTATTGACATTTTTCTTTGTTTCATCTTTTAAGTGTACGTGCTTGCCTGTGCGTGCATGTGTTCATAAACTCAACACTTTAATCATGGTTTCATGAGCATTAAAAAGCAAAGGGAAAAAGGATGTGCAATGGTGTAAACAGTCTGTCTGTATATTTTTAATAGCGCCAGAGTTAAGAGTCTCGGTTGTTACTTTATAAGGTGGTTTTATTAACAACCCGGAATCCTGGATTTTCCTGTCTTTGCTGTATTTCGAAAAACATATTTTGACTCATACTTTTGTTTTACATGTAGCAAAGTCTGCGATCTGTGTCTGCTGTATGATAAACAGATATGTGGCCTACAATATAAACTGTATTTATAAACCACTCTTCAACACCTGGCTCCAGTGCTGTTTTTAGACGAATAATGAAGTCATGTTGGAGTCTTTCATGTCTGAAAGATTTAAGTTAAAAACAAAAATGTTTCTTCGAAGGTTAGCTTGTATCATCACCCTGGATGGGTTACAGATATAACCATGTTGACTATGGGGAAAGATGCTTCATTCCTGAAAGGTATAACATGCGAGCAAATCTTTAAAGGACCCTGACATTAAATGCTGAGGCTTTAATACAATACACACATATTTTATTCCAGGTTTATAATGGTGGTCTGAATAAGACACCTGTAAATAAGTCAGCATTTATGACCAGAAGAAGAAGAACCTGGTCTTGGACTTTTATTTTTATATGGAAAGTTGTAAAGACTTGGGCCAACTAAGTCTACCCACAAAGAAAAAAAGAAATCTGCCTTATATCCCTTATGCACAACCATGGGAAATTGTTGGCTCACAGAAAGTCTGGCAATAAATGATATTAGCTAACATGCCGTGTGTTTCCTTGATCAGAGGTGGCTGCGAATACCATGGGATGGGGGCTTGTTTTGCTTTTGGTGTTTTGGTGTTAATACTTGTGGTTTCACAGAGTGTCTGAGTATTGGATTTCATGTAATTGCTCACCATGTCTAAACACAGACCTGTAGTGGTCTCGATTGTTCTATTAGCTGCTGAGTATGACTCCAGGAAAGCCAAGAAGGTAAAAGAAGAACTGGTATAAATGGATCACAAATCTGAGAACTTGAAATGTGGTTATGTCAGACAGTCTCCTATTGCCTATCCCCAAAATGTGCCTGCTCTTGAAATCTGTGATCCTAGAACCTGCCCGCAACCTCCCTGTGGAGTAGAACATACAGGTAGGCGGTCTGGTTTTCAATTTGCCCCAAGGACCAGCCCAGGAGCTAGGGACCTGTGGAGGCATCAGGCATAAGCGAGCACCAGTTCTCTTGCAAATCACTGATTGCCACCTCTGCTCGTTCCAGGAACCTGTGGTCTCCGGGGACCAGAAGGAAGGCAGGCAAAGACTCAGATATTGTGTTGTTGTCCCTGTTTTCATTTTAGGCCCAGAGAGAATTTGGTGGACACTCCCTGTCCATAATCACCACAGCTAGAACATAGATTTACATGTGAGCTTTTGTGTGGCAGTAGCTTCGGTTTTGTTTTAGCCTTTTATTTAGAAATTACAGATTCAGAGAAAGTCGAAACGATGCACAAAGAGGCTGGCTTGGTCTCACCGGGTGGTAACAGCCTGCATTGCTGTTGCGGTAACAGCCGTCCTGGTATCCATAGGAGATCAGTTCCAGGACCCCCCCCCCAAATGGTTACCAAAATCCCGGGATGCTCAAGTCCCTGACGAAATAGCCTCATATTTGCATAGAACCTGTGCACGTCCTCTGTATACTACAAACCATCTCTAGATTACTTGTCATCCCTAACACAGTGTTAGCACTATGGAAGTAATTGTTATACTGTACTTTTTTCTAACTTGTATTTTTCTTGTTTTTTTTTTTTAATTGTTTTTATTTTTTCTAAACATTTCAATGTGCACTTGCGTGCAGACCCTGTGGAGAGGAGGGTTGAGTGTAATTTTGAATGTTTATTACTGAGGAAGGCATCAGTGTAAACAGTGGCATCACTTCAAACTTAGACAATCCAGTTGTATTTTCATTTCATTTTTTTTTCATTCTTTTGGAAGGGAATCCACATCAGTAATTTTTTTCAAAAAATTCTAATACTAGAAGTAAAAAATTACTTTTCCTCTCAGCCACAGCCTCCCCAATTACCCGTTTCCTTCCCCAGAAACAGCTATTTTCGCCATTTGAATGTTCTTCCAGAAATGTTTTAAACTGTCCAAGCATATACTCATATATATATATATATATATATCCCTGTCCTTGTTTTTTAAAAATATGTTTTTGTATATATAAAAGCATAAACTCCTGTACCTTGCTTTTTCCCCAGAATAGTATTTTAGCTCTCATTCTACATTAGTACCTATAGAGTTGCCTTATTCTTTTCAACTATTATACAGTCCCTAGGACAGATTTGTGGGGAAAAAAATAGGCCACCTACTTTCTCTCTAAAAATAGTTCAGAAATCAAATAAGGCAAACAAACAATTATTTAGTTATCAGACTTTATTTAGATAGCACACTGAGTTGAGGTCAAAAATGTATCGTAATAAAGTTCTGTAATAACTACATCATACATTGGGGTCTTTGCTAAATTCTAGAAATACTTGTGCCAATTGGGTGTAAAAGTAAGTGCTTTAAAGAATGAAAATCTCTACCCATCAAGCGCTTACACTATAAAAGGAGGACAAAACAAAAATACACAAAACTGAATTCAATCAGCACATTTATGGCTGTTTCATTCAATTGATCAGAGAAAGCATTATGATGTGCTGCAAAAATATTGGACCTGGATTCTAGGTTTGGCCTTGACATTTTCAAAATATGTAATCTTTTAGGTCAGGGGTCAGTCCAGAGACCAAATCTAGCCTGCCACCTGCTTTTGTAAATAAAGTTTTATTGGAACAGATCTGTTCCCATGTATTTGTGCATTGTTTGCCTGTGGGTGCATTTGTACCACAGTGGCAGAGTAGGAGGCAACAAAGGCCTACAAAGCTGAAAATATTTACTCTCTGGTCCTTTGTAGAAAGTGCTGATCCCTGTTAGATAATTATAGAAGTATAATGTTTCCTTTTTAACCAATTGCCAGCTATGGTTAGAATTTTGATTCCATGTTTTATGCAAGGAGTATAGTCCCATTTTGAGGTTCTTGCTGTGTTTTTTGTCCCCTATTTTGAATGAGTCCCCTCCCTCCCTCCCTCTGCATTTCCTTGTCAGCACGAGCTGGCTGAGTGTCACCTCTCATTTCTATTTGATCCATCAGCAGATTGAGTAAAGCTTCTCCAAGACAGAGATTCATTCTATTTTCCTTCCACATGCCCCAAGAAATCCAGCATCCTGCCAACCTGGAACATTTTAGGGGCTCAATTTAGTCATGGTGAATAAGCCACAGCCCCAACTTTCAGCAGATTTATTATGGTGATCAGACAAATGCACATGACAATGCTAAATAAACACACAAGGTGGAGTCCTGGGCATATCAGGAAGGAATGATCCAGGTGCCTGAAGCAGGTGGCTGGGATGGCCAGGGGAGGGCTCAAAGTGGAAAGTGGTAGGCCCTGAGCTGATCTTGCAATAAGGCAGGACTTGGGCTGGGGGGAGGAAGGAGCGCAGCACAGGTATGGAGGTGGAGGTGGGCAGGTGGCAGTGGGGAGGTCAGAGCTGTGCTAAGGGCTCTTTTGTCCTAGCCCAAAATAGCGTGTTCATCAGTCTTATGTCCACCCTTGTCCCACCTACACCTATATATTTCCCACAGCCTAGATACCCAGAGAGATCTTTATATAAACATATATCCCTCTCCCATGCAAAATTCCTCTAACTTCCTGTGCCACGGAAGTGTAAATGTCTATACCTGTAGAGCCCTGTGTTTTCTGCCCCTTTGTGCCACACCCACCTTGTCCCAAGCCAGTCTCCACCTCACCCCATGTCAGCCGTACTGCCCGTGTGGCCCAGCAGCCTCGTCTTGGTCACGCTTTCGCTGAGTCCCTGTGTCATCAGTCCCCCGACTTACAGTATTCTGCTGCCCAGCAGTGACGAAAGTGACGGATGCTTCCTGGTGACACCCAGTGCGTGTGCTCAACAAGACCACAGCAGTGATTCCTAAGCACTTGGAGCTCTGGCAGTGCCGTGCTGGCAAAGGTTCATCAACTGGCTCTCCAGGGGCATGACAGGGGGCCGGGGAGAGGGGTGCTGCTTTGCAGAGTTTGCTGATTTGCATGGTGTAAATATTCCCACCATGGCCAATTTCAAGCTCCAAGTTGGTACCACTGAATACGGAGATGGCACGAGACCCACTGGCAAGCTGGTAGGTGCCAAGTCCTGCACACCCTCTGACGAGACACGTAATGGGGAGGGGATGACCTTCATTTCAATCAAAAATCTGCATTTGCTTATTCAGAAGAAAATCTCTGAATGAAGTGGAAAGAAGACACTTAGAAAGCCCTAAGCACTGTGCGTGGGGGGAAATATAATGTGGGAAAATTGAAGATGTCTTCAAAGTATAGAATCTGTTCCTATCTTTAGTTTTCCCAGGGACTTCTATTTTCCCTCTCAAGTAATAGCAGGATTACAGTCAATACGCAGTTTGAGACATAAATATGGTCTGCTACCCCTGAGCCACCCAGACATTTGAATGGTGGGAACCAGTCGCTAGATTAGAGTTCTCATCATTCCCTTCTGACATGTTGGGGAAAAACGAATAATTCCTATAAATCTGATCTCCCGGGGGAATGGTTCTCTGTGAGTTCACTGAATGAATGACTTGGCATGGAGGAAATTTAATAGGCCTCTTAACAGGAGATCAGATAACCCCAGGGATCAACACCAATCATCTTTATTAAGTTGCTCAGAGCCTAGCTGGGTGTAAAAGATATAAATCTAGGAAACAGTAAGGCACTTTTGACACAGCGAGAGTGTGTGGACCATCTGCATATGTGTTAAAGGGTCCAGAAAAGGAATGCTCAAAGAGGAAAGTTTTGAAAGAAGGAAAATATTGAATGAAAAAAAAAGCAGGTTTGTGATGTAGAGTGTAGGTACGTGCCAGTGTAGTGGAACCAATGAAGGAAGAAAATTCAGGAGGCAAAAATGAGCATCACGTGCACTTCTAAAGTCATTCTTTTTTACACTCTGAGTTACTCCTTTGATCATCTCATGTAATCAGTGGCCTTGGTTTCCATGTGCTCAGCACGTACGTTTCAGGGTTGGGGCCAAGTGTGCTGCCACCAGCGTCTCATTCTGTCCTCATGGTAGCCATGATGTCCACGCTATTTACAGTCTATTTTAAAATCTGTTCTACAGTGAGGATGTTGAGATTTAGAAAGCAATTTATCTAATTTGCTTTCACAGCTTTTCTGTGTAACAAATCACCCCCACATCCAGTAGCTAAAATAGCAACCATTAATTCAGCTCATGATTCTATCGGCTGTCGGTTTGCGCGGGCTCACCTGGGCAGTCTCTCCCTGCTGGGCTCACTCATGGCTCTTCAGTTCACCTACAGCCAGGTCAGCTTTGTTGATCTTGCCTTGGCTTTCTCACTGAGGGCCTCTGATGAGATGGCTGAGCTCTGCTCCGTGTGGCTTCTCATCCTCCTGCTTGCTGGCATTGGCCGGTTCACAGGGCATTTGGCAAGGTCTGAAGCAAAGGAACAAGAAGAAGCAAGCCCTCTGGAAACTTCAATTCAAAACTGGTACATTATTAATTCCACTGCATTCTAGCCATCAAAGCAAGGCACAATGCCAGGCTATAGTCAAGAGATGAGGAAATTGACTCCATATCTTGATGGAAGCTGCTGCAAAGCCACTCAACAAGAGGTTGGGGAATTTTGGCTATTTTTTGTAATCTACCGCCCTTGCTCAAAATCAC